TAGGGGGTGCCTAATACTGAACAACACCCCCAGCATTGCCAGCATCATCCCGGATGATGCGGATGATGTTATGCATGCTGGCGATGCGCGTGATGCTGGGGATGTTGTCCCCTAAGTCGGGCCAATTTTGCCGAAAACGTGCAACCTGAAAATCTTAAAATCTAAAGTGGATGGAAAATGGATGGAACATGGCCTGGATTGAAATCTCAAAATCCTAAAGTCTTAGATTCTTAAAATCTTAAATTAAAATCTAACAATCAATCTTAGAATCTCAAGATCTTAAAATCTTAGAACTTAGAATCTTAAAATCTGAAAATATAAAAACATCCTAAAGTCTTCGAATCTTGAAATCTTAAAACCCTTATGTCTTAGAATCTTGAGATCTTAAACTCTTAAAATATGAAATTCCTAAAGTCTTACAATCTTAAAATCTCAGAATCTTAAAAAGCTTTAACAACTTAAATTCTTTAAACCTCGAACAATTGAAATCTGAAAATCTTAAATTATTAAAATATTACCTTCCTTCAATCCGGCTATATTTTAACTTCCTTAAACTCTTAATCTTGAATTTTTGAATTCTTGAAACCTTAAGATCTTAAAATTACAACCTTAGAAGATAGAATCTTACAACCTGAAAATATAAACATCCTCAAGTCTTCGAATCTTGACTTCTTAAAACCCTCATGTCGTTGAATCTTCAGATGTTAAAATCTTAAAATATGAAATTCCGAAATTCTCAAACTCTTAAAATCTCAGAATCTTAAAAGCTTCAAAAACTTAAATTCTTTAAATCTCGAACTATTGCAATCAAGTAAAATATAATAAAATTCCTTCAATCCGGGCTATATTCTAAATTCCTTAAACTCTTAATCTTCAAAATTTGAAGTCTTGACATCTTAAGATCTTAAAATCTTAAATTCCGAAAGTCGCCAAATCTGAAAATCTCATCAAAAATGAAATCTTAAAGCCTTCGAAATCTGATAATGGATGGAAAATGGCTGGGCAATGGCCTGGCTGTTATAACCTTCAAACACCTTAAGTAAATGAATCTTAAAACCTTAATTCTTAAACCATTGAAGCCTTAAATTCCAAAAGTCTTGAAATCTGAGACCCTTAGAATCTCAAAGTGTTTAGAATTGTTTAATCTTAACATCTACTCATCGGACTTACCGGAAAGGGAAGTGACAGAACGGGCAGGGCAAGGTGCCCGGTGGCCGGCTGTGTTGCGTCAGCGTGTAAATCCGGCCACCGGACGTGATCGGGCCGCAGGCCAAAGCCCAGGAGGGCTTACCTTCAGGTATAAGGCCGCGCGCCCCATGCCGCCGACCATGCGCAGAACATGCGCCGACCATGCGCCGACCATGCGCATACGTTTTGCGCTGGGCCCACCCTTATAAGGGGCGAAGGATTCGCGGATTGGCTTAGGCGATTTCCGAGGATTTTTGTAGCATCTCCCCGCAGCGTCCAAAAACGAGTATTTTTAGGGGGTGCCTAATACCGGACAACACCCCCAGCATTGCCAGCATCATCCCGGATGATGCGGATGATGTTATGCATGCTGGCGATGCGGGGGATGCTGGGGACGTTGTCCCCCAAGTCGGGCCAATTTTGCCGAAAACGTGCAACCTGAAAATCTTAAAGTGGATGGAAAATGGATGGAAAATGGCCTGGATTGAAATCTCAAAATCCTAAAGTGTTAGATTCTTAAAATCTTAAATTAAAATCCAACAATCAATCTTAGAATCTCAAGATCTTAAAATCTTAGAACTTAGACTCTTAAAATCTGAAAATATAAAAACATCCTAAAGTCTTCGAATCTTGAAATCTTAAAAACCTTCTGTTTTAGAATCTTGAGATCTTAAACTCTTAAAATATGAAATTCCTAAAGTCCTACAATCTTAAAATCTCAGAATCTTCAAAAAGCTGTAAAAACTTAAATTTTTTATACCTCGAACAATTGAAATCTGAAAATCTTAAATTATTACAACTATTACATTCCTTCAATCCGGGCTATATTTTACATTCCTTAAACTCTTCATGTTGAAATTTTGAAATCTTGAAACCTTAAGAACTTAAAAATACAACCTTAGAAGATAGAATCTTACAACCTGAAAATATAAACATCCTAAAGTCTTCGAATCTTGACTTCTTAGAACCCTCATGTCTTTGAATCTTCAGATGTTAAAATCTTAAAATGTCTTCAAATCTGAGACCCTTAGAATCTCCATTTTTTTGGAATTTTAAATCTTAACATCTACTAATCGGACTTACAGGACAGGGAAGTGACAGAACGGGCAGGGCAAGGTGCCCGGTGGCCGGCTGTGTCGCGTCAGCGTGTAATATGAATAGTTCTCCCTCTGTTTTCTGCAAAAAAGGGGACCCAAAGAATGCGAGGCAATGTGTTCCAGACACGATGTTCTTTCCCAAGTTGCGAGGAAGCAAGCTCTTTCTTGAAATGCAAGCTTGTCATGGTGTTCTTACCGTATTTAAAACATGCTTGACTCACTTCATTGCCCTCTACAATGAAAATGGAACATAGGTGTCAGAATCGGCACAACGACCGAACATGAGCAAACCAACACGTCCAGGGTGTAAGTATGTTTTCCCAGCCCCGACCAGAAAAGCAAACGTACGTGCTGCCTGTAGCTCTCGTTTGAGTTGAATAAAACCGATAATAACTGCAAACAACACACACCTTGCTTTGCTTGGTTTTCGGCCGCCTGCCCAGGCCGCCTGAAACTTAGTGTAGACCCGTCAAACAAGTTGTCTTCTGACGGCTTCGTTGGCGGAAAGCAAAGGTCTGTGTCTGTCTTGGTCGAGCGCTCTGATCGAAATTCGGCACTCAACAAGGACTTAGCCAACTTAGCCGAAACACTGAATGTCACTGACTGGCACGAGACTCGGAGTTCACACCTACCAAAGGTTAAGCGCGTGTCGCGCGCGACCAGAATTGGGCTGGAGGCCAGCCCAGGCTTGAGTGGCAACCAGCTGGTGTTGCCAAACCTTGAGGCAAGCTGAGCGCCCAAAAATCAAAGTGCTGCCATCATTTTGCGCCTGCGTACAATGTGTCAACAGCAAAGATGCTGTGGCCTTGGTGTCTGTCAGAGCGGCATACGACTGTGCTTGCTTCTTGAACGTCGTGTCGAGGTAAGCTGCACACGCACACACACACACAAACACAAACACACATTCTGAGAACACATTCGCTTGGCATTCCTCATTTCTTGGGCTGACGCCTTTGAGGCTAACGAGTGGCTCATCCATACAGCCCACACTGTTGGATAGCCATTGAGTGTGTGTGTTCTTTCTGGAAAAAAACACGGTAGAAAACGCAGGCTGTGGAATCGATGAGCTTCTGGCACAAGTCGTAAAGGCCAAGTGGAGAACTCCGACAGCCGCACGTGGCCGCGCGCGGCCACACGTGAAGATGCGCGACGCCAGTTGTGTTTGCATTGCGCGCCAAGAGCTTTGCGCAGGGGTTCAGGATCAGATGCAATCCGCGAGAGTTACAACGCCACGGAAGACTCCAGAAGGAGGGAACCCCACACTAGGAAAGCTACGTAGCTGGGGCCCAACCCTTAACAAGTGTCACGGAACTGGAATTTCCAGTTGGGCAGCAGCCAACTGTTGTTCTCACATGGCCATGGACTAGTCTGACGTGTAAGGTGCTTAGGCTCAAAACACTGCGTCCAGGTCTGGGCCCATTGGAATTCCTGTTGCGCCTCGAAGCTATGCTGCAAGGCAACGAGGATGCTAGGGCCTCGCAGCTTTCAACTCGATCCCATGGTTTGCAATGGACAGATCCGTTTGCAGCTCGGCTTGTGGGGCCAAACCATCTCAGAGCTGGGCTGCAACCAAAGTGCCTGAAAATGCCGCAAACAATGATCAACTGTTTTTGGTTTTGAGGCATCCACAGGGTGGCCTGCAACTGAGGGCCCTTTCTGAGGATGGCGTTTTCAGGGAATCAACATGAACTGGTGCTCATTTTTGGAGGTCCGCCATGGGAAAGGGTGTTGACAACCTGATCGCTCAGCCCACCGGAAAACGGTTCACCACAAGATGGTTTACACTTCCCGCGCCAGAATGGAAAACATTCCTCACCCCGCGCCTTCGGGAATGAATCCTCCCCTCCCAAGCCGCCTGGTTCACCTGTAGGCAGAAACGGTCAACATGTTGCAAGAACCTCCATAACAAGGCAGTGTCTTTCAAAACCCTACCAACAAAATAGCGCCTGTGAGTCTTGGGACGTCTTGCGAAAGTTTGGCCTGTTGTCCAAGCCTGCCCATGTCCCCCGCATTTTGCCGCCCAAGCTGAGCCGGCCCGGCATGATTGCAATGAGGACTCCAAGAGGCGGTTGATATGCAACATGGCCTCGGCTGACAGCTTCCATGCAGTGCCTCACTTTGTGCAGGCTAACCTTCTTGCCACACGAAATCAAGCACATTGCCAGCACATGGCACACTCGGAAGGGCGGAGCTGAAAGTTCAGCTCCAGGCTCGCATAGCTGCCGGGCTGGAGCGGGTCAGCAGCATGTGGTTGCACCTAGGGTGTGACTTCACGCGGCTGGGTCAATGTCAGGCTAAGGTTTGGTGCGTCAAGGAACGCGGATCACCTCTCACAGGGAATCCGCTTTGGTGGTTCTAATTTGGGACCTCGGAGGCGCTGCCTGCTAGGGTTTGGGATTTGAGGCGGCGACTGAAACTAACCCTTTTGACCCACAATGTCGTACCGATTGCACTTGCATTGAAGGGCCGTTTTGCCACTTCACCCACCTCCTTTCTATTTAATACGCTTAAGGTGGGTGATGGAAGGATAAGGAAAGCATGTTCACCCTTCATCATAGACCCAGCGTATGAAAGGGAAAGGCTGCGATGATGAAGGCAGGGAAAAATCAATAGCAACTGCTGGAAAGAACTGTCCAGCGGATGGAGAGGTTGCTTGAGGAAGGGACACCATGATCAAGCCTTACCCCGCTCCGTCCAATTCTCTTCGCTCTGGGACTTCTGCATCCCTTGATCCCTTTCCCTTCCTCACACCTCCAGTCAACACGCTGTCTAGGTTGTAGACAGATGGAGAGGTGACCAGCCAAGAAGACAAACATGGCTTTTGGTCACCATTTGTCTTCTCCATCGATCATTGTCCACTCATTTTGGTTGGAAATGTTTGGATGGATGAAAGAATACCATAAAATAAAAGGCTATTTCGCCCCTACGTCTAGAACCCAAAGAAACAGTCCTTACCTTTCCCTTTCCATAATTCTCCCACATTGTCACCCAACCTCGGTTTTTAAGATTTTAAAAAGTGGTGTGATAAAGAGAGAGAGAGAGAGAGAGAGAGAGAGGGGAAATGGTTAAGAGAGGATTGAGAGTAGGGATGGACATGAGAGTTACTTTGGGTAGTCCATCCCACTCTCGCATATCTCTAACACCAATCTTGAATTCTCTGTTCCTTTTGGGTTGGGAGAAAAGAGAGTGAGTGATGGAGAGATGAGGATGAATTGTGTGAAGCGGCAGATGGCAGCCTGCCACGTCACTGTTTTTGTGCGATATGTGTTATTGGTGGCGCTAGGTTTGTGGAACACCTAAAGCGGGGAACTGGAGTCGTGGGACCTGTTTGGGAGAATGTTCTTGGCATTGGGAATGGGCAATCCTGCGCACATGCCCGCAACCTCAGTCGCCATTCACCATGGTCTGCGTTCCACCTCCCCACCCCTTCCCAGCATGGATTCGCTGGGGGCGAAACCAAATGTCAATGCCGACCTTGCCCAGGCCTTGCGGATCTACCTCGCGCGGACCATCTGCACATCGTCCGTTGCAAGGGGAGTCAGAGGGAAGCCAATTTTGAAATCTTTGAAACACCGCCTTGGGAAGCTCAGCTTGGTAGAGAGCCTGAACTCCATCACTGCTGGAGAACCAAGCAACACCTCCAACTGAAGCAAAGGACACTAGCAGCTAAGTAGATGCTCAGCAAAACCTGACGGAGGAGCCTTGGCAGAGATCTTGCCCGGTTCTCTCCAGAAGCCAACCAAATCACCCCTAGAAGCTGGTCAACTTACCACCAGTCAAATCCCCAAGACCCCAAATGCGCCCCTAGAAACCGGTCAAATCCTCCCAGAAAAACACCTTCGCTTGGCAAGCCCGCTGCCATTCTGTAGCTCGCTGGCTGATTGCTTTCTCTTTGCGTGCTTTGCTCATCCATCTATCTATTTATGCGCCTACCTACCCATCGATCTTTGCATCTAATTGTCCACTTATCTACCTATCTATAGTCCGTACTCCTTCACAAGCAAGGAAACAAGTAAGCAAGCAAGGCAAAGCAAAGCAAAGCAAAGGAAAAAAGCAAAGCAAATCAAGCCAACACAAAAAAACAAAACCAAATCCACACACACATACACAAAGCAGACATGCAAACAGCCACACACAAGCACACATACAGGCATCCACACACATAATATGAACAAGCACAAAAACACACGTAGCTGTGCGCTCCCGGCCTCGCGCATGGTCTGCTTGACCCTAATTCGTACGAATTCCTGGCCGCTGAAAGCTCAGATGCCGGCTGTTGAACCGGGGACACATGGCGCAAGTGGAAGATGGACTTCTGGGAAGCTTGTTGGATCTGATTGCTTGGGCTGCACCAGGGGCCCATCATCCTGCACCCAGAAACCTGGATCATTCACTAGCCACGTTCAGAAAGATAACAGATACAGGCAACTCACTCTGCGCAATACCAGGCACTTAACTTGCGTGGTTGGTATACCTCTCGCCCCAAGGATTTGTAAGCCGTATTTGCAAGTTTGCAACACCGAACCACTTGAAGTGCTAGAAAACCTCGGATAGACAAACTACTTTGGGCAGTGCGCAGGATGGTTCTTTGAACAAACGCAATATTACCCACAAAACATACATGTTGCCCACAAGGTCATGATCGTGCTGGCAGGTTTAGGGTTCTTAGGGTTTAGGTTTAGGGTTTTTAGGGCTTAGGTTTAAGGATATTAGGGTTTAGGTTGAGGGTGTTTAGGGTTTAGGTTTAGGGTTTCAGGGTTTTTAGGGTTATTTTAGGGTTTAGGTTTGAGCTTTTTAGGGTTTAGGCTTGCGTTTTAGGGTTTAGGATTTTTTTTGTAGGGTTTCTAGGGCTTGGAGCTGGCTGTCTGGGGCATCCGAGGCTGGTTTCTCTGGTTTAGATTTAGGGTTGTGTTGATGATAGCAGCACGCCGCCGAGCATGAAGCTGGGGTGTCAGGGGGCTCGGAAGTCCTTTTTTGCTGCGCCTGCCAAGCTTTTTGGAGGTCCCGGGACCCGCTTCCGGGCGGTCGTGGGCAACACATACGTTTTGGCCGCAATAATACTCTCAGTCAGTTTGTCAGTTATGATGGCTCTCACTGCTATGTGAAGGGCACTTGTCTGCAAGGCAAGTTGTGCACAGTCATTCCACAGTGTCGGATGAGAGATGCAAGGATGTCACAACATGTTGGCAGCTATGGCCACTTGGGGGGAGCTGTGGTCAGAGAAAACAAGCGGCATTGCCGCGCCTCGTCCCGCTCGGTGATATCTCCCTGGTGCTGCGCCTGGATCGAAGCCAACAGGCTCTTTCTGTTTGTTTTTCACACCTGTGGTTTGAGATGTGGGGTCAAAGATGAAAACCCAATGGGCAAAGTACAATGAAACGAATCGTTGATCAGACATTGCGATGGCGCGCTGGTGCACAAGGCGCCGCGGCGGCTGTGTGGTTAGACAAGAGGTCTTCGCGTACAGTGTCATTCTACCGACATGGGCCGACAAGGTCCCTCCAAAGGCTGCTGGAAATGGCAATTCGAATAAACAAGTACAAGGCACATGAACCCAAACTCTCAATAGGGGGGTTCACTTTGAAATGCGCTCTGTGATTCCAGGGGGTTAAAGCAGGCTATTCTTGTTGAAGCTCTTTTTGTTGTTCCCCGACTTTCCCCAAAATGGTAAGTTTGCATCGTAATTCTTTTTGAACAGTAACCACAAAGGGGTCTCCATTTTAAAGACATCCCTGACTGGGCAACAATCGGAAAAAGGTGGACTTTACCTCAAACACATCGGCTCTCAATCTCCCACTGACTTCAAACCAGAAACCGCAGCCTTGAGCGTAGCAAGCCAGCATCTCGCAAGGTCCTGCCAAATGGGAACCACGGTCTAAGCATGTTGGCCATGACGGAAGGACCTGTGCAAATGCGCGGCTGTAAAGGGACTGCGTGCTGAATCATGGCCATCACACTCGGGACCAGTCCCTGTGTCTGAAGGTTTCTGCGCTCATAGCCCCTACTCCCCGGCCTTCTACCATGCCACCAAGCACTAAGCACTGAAAATGAATGGCAATAGAAAGGATGCCATTAATCTTCTGGGAAAACTTCTCAGCAAATGAGCCGACAACGGCAACACACGGGCCGACTGAAAGAAATCCAGCCGAGCCCGTAGGCCGGAGCGAAAGAGTTTTTGCCAGGACGTCGGTCAACAAACTGAAGGTCAGTAGCAAGCTGCAGGTCTGTCTTGATTGAACATATCTACACATCAGAACGCGTGGTTCCCCCCCACACACACACACACACACACACACACACACACACACACACACACACACACACACACACACACACACACACACACACACACACACACACACACACACACACACACACACACACACCCACGCGCATGCCCACGCCCACGCCCACGCCCAAGCCCACGTCCACGCCCACGCCCACGCACACGCACACACACACACAACACGCACGCAACACACACACACACAACACACACACACACACACAACACACCCACACCTACACCCACCCACACACACACACACACACACGCACACGCGCACGCACGCGCGCACGCACACGCAAACACAGAAACACAGAAACACAGAAACACAGAAACACAGAAACACAGAAACACAAAAACACAGAAACACAGAAACACACACACACACAACACACCCACGCACCCACGACACCCACGCACGCACGCACGCACGCACGCACCCACGCACCCACGCACCGACGCACCCACGCACCAACGCACCCACGCACGCACGCACGCACGCACGCACGCACGCGCGCGCAACAACACACACACACACACATACGCGCACACACACACACACATCCACACACATGCATACACATGCACACACATGCACACACATGCACACACGCACACACGCACACACGCACGCACGCACGCACCCACACACACACACACATGCACACAATGCACGCGCACACACACACACAAACACACACAGACGCGCTTGCACACACGCGCACGCACCCACGCG